GCTTCCTTTTCTCCTTTTCTTTTGGAGAAAATAAAGCTGGATTATTCTGACAGCTTGGGTAGGTTGGTTTGAGTATTGTTTCAAGAGGTGGGGATGGGGAATTAAAGTCAGTGGCCCACCTGGGAGGGATGAGATGGATAACTCCTTGGCTTGCTGTGGCCCACCTGGAAGGGATGAGATGGATAACTCCTTGGCTTGCAGGACTGCTGAGGACTGGAGGAGAACCTGTAGGGTTTTTGCAAAGTGAATAAAAATAGTGTGGTTTGCGTTTTTTTTTCAATTGATTTGATTTTTTGCTTTGGATTGATTAAATTATTGGATGATGTTTTCACTGCAGTCTCCCTCTTTTGAAGGAGAAGTAAACAGTGTATCTTCCAAAGAGAGCACTGCAGTGTATGGGACCTACCTGTTGCTTAAAGTTGTTCAACAACACCCCTTCATCTACAGTCAATTGGCTTGTGTGGAGCTTCCCTGACTGTGTGCACATCCAAGTGTCCCTGACAGCAGCTCTCTGGAGAAGCTCCCCAATACAAGCTAGCATGTAGGAGCCAGGGAACACTTGACAGGACTTCGGGGACCCTTGGTCAATTGGGCAGAAATTTCTATGTAGGATGGTTTGAAATTAGATAAAATGTTTGAAACTGTGTTTAAAATCACAGTAAAGTATAAAAGCAGCCTATTTTACTTAGGAGACTATGAAGAGTTTCTTTGTAGAGGACCTTGGGTATGGGAGATATAATTTGATAAACATCTACAAGGTGATGCATATTTAATTGTCTTCACCAAGAACAAAAAAAAAAGCTTCTGGAAAACTAGGTTGCAGGAACCAGTGTTTGCTTTGCTGTGGAAGCTAATTCCTCAGTGAGTGTTATAAGTTTATTCAGATTCAGAGTTAGCATCAGTCAAGGTTGTTGCGTTTTGCCACTCAGGACTGAGGTACAATATGGTAAATTGTGGTTACAAGTAAGATATAAAAAAATTACACTGAGACTCTAGAAGGGTGGACTTATTCTTTTGTTCCGCCCGAGGCCTGATGTTTGATCCCCATTAGTAACTAAGGGAGAGAAGTTGTTGAAGGATTTGATAGAAGGTAAGCCTGTGTTTGAGATGGCTATTGAACAGTCTCCCAAAAGGAGAGTGGAGCTGCAGTGTGGAGAGGCCACTTATTTCTGTAGCGAAGTAAACTGTGAGTTCCTCAGTGACTTTCCTAGGGATCGCCACAGCACATACATCACCTGCATGATGCCCGTCACAGTTACTCAATTTGGAATTTCAGGACCTATTGTTTTTTATTTACATGTGAGACACTTAACATATCTACGTAAACGTTGTCGTTGACATACAGGCTGCGATTGAGAAAGTCTTAAAAAGTTTCAAATGAGCCTGCCTCTCAGTGCAGGCTTTCATTTATTTTTATTTAAATGTAAGAATTTATTTTAATTGATTTAAATTAAAATTAGTAAGTTTAATTTTTTACTTATAAAGCTTGATGAAGGAGAGAAGGGACTGAGGAGGACAAAGCAGAGAGGTGGTTTATGCTGCTGTGGTATCTTGCAAGTTGGTAGGCGTGGTAGCTGGGGAGGTGGTACATAAACAGGGTTTGTGCACGCTGCTTTCCAAGGTCTGTCCCTGGTGTATCACCCCCCCC